AAGAGGATACTTTAATTAATAATTGGTGATATTTCCACAAGGATCCTTCAAGAAATTAATTTTATAGCGAATTTTGAAAGTTATCGATGAAAATTGCAACATCCAAAATTTTATCAAAACTTCAAATATTGTTTTCTCAAAAACTAAAAGTTATTTTTCAAATCGTGTTGGTTCATTGGAAAAAAGACACTTTTATTAACAGTTTAGGAAATTTTCATACTCATGTTCCAAGAAATGAATTTTATACGAATTTTTAAAACTTAATCGGCGAAAATTGCAAAATTCGAAAAAATTGTCGATCATTTCAAAAATTTATTTCTCAAGAACTAAAAGTGATTTTTCAAAACGGCTTTTTGCATTAAAAAGAGGATACTTTAATTAATAATTGATGATATTTCCACAAGGATCCTCCAAGAAATGAATTTTATAGCGAATTTTGAAAGTTATCGATGAAAATTACAACATCGAAAATATTATCAAAAACTTCAAATATTGTTTTTTCAAAAAATAAAAGTTATTTTTCAAAATGGGTTGGTTCATTGGAAAGAGGACACTCTTATTAACAATTTGAGAAATTTTCAAACTCATATTCCAAGAACCGGATTTTATACGAATTTTTAAAACTTAATCGGCGAAAATTGTAAAATTCGAAAAAATTGTCTATCATTTAAAAAATTTATTTCTCAAGAACTAAAATTGATTTTTCAAAACGGATTTTTGCATTAAAAAGAGGATACTTTAATTAATAACTAGTGATATTTCCACAAGGATCCTCCAAGAAATGAATTTTATAGCGAATTTTGAAAGTTCTCGATGAAAATTGCAACATCGAAAATTTTATCAAAACTTCAAATATTGTTTTCTCAAAAACTAAAAGTTATTTTTCAAAACGGGTTGGTTCATTGGAAAGAGGACACTTTTATTAACACTTTGGGAAATTTTCATACTCATATTCCAAGAAATGGATTTTATACGAATTTTTAAAACTTAATCGGCGAAAATTGCAAAATTCGAAAAAGTTGTCGATCATTTCAAAAATTTATTTCTTAAGAACTAAAAGTAATTTTTCAAAACGGCTTTTTGCATTAGAAAGAGGACACTTTAATTAATAATTGGTGATATTTCCACAAGGATCCTTCAAGAAATGAATTTTATAGCGAATTTTGAAAATTATCGATGAAAATTGCAATATCGAAAATTTTATCAAAACTTCAAATATAGTTTTATTAAAAACTAAAAATTATTTTTCAAAACGTGTTGGTTCATTGGAAAGAGCACAGTTTTATTAACATTTTGGGATATTTTTAAACTCATATTCCAAGAAATCGACTTTATACGAATTATTAAAATTTAATCTTCGAAAATTGCAAAATTCGAAAAAATTGTTGATCATTTCAAAAATTTATTTCTCAGGAACTAAAAGTGATTTTTCAAAACGGCTTGTTGCATTAAACAGAGGATAATTTAATTAATAATTGGTGATATTTCCACAAGGATCCTTCAAGAAATAAATTTTATAGCGAATTTTGAAAGTTATCAATGAAAATTACAACATCGAAAATTTGATCAAAACTTCAAATATTGTTTTCTCAAAAACTAAAAGTAATTTTTCAAAGTGGGTTGGTTCATTGGAAAGAAGACACTTTTATTAACATTTTGGGAAATTTTCATAGTCATATTGCAAGAATTGGATTTTATACGAATTTTTAAAGCTTAATCGGCGAAAATTGCAAAATTCCGAAAAATTGCCGTATTGGCAGGATACCAGATAGTTGCCGGATATCCGTTCCACCTCTATTTTAAACCATATACTCATACTGAATCAAAAGCTTTTGTTATGTCTAGAAAAGCAGCTGTTGTATACTGTTTATTTTCATGTTCTCTCTCTATTATTTCCGTCACTCTTGTGAGTTGATGTACTGTATGATTGATGTAGGTATGATTGTGATTTTGGATCGCAAATGTTCAAAAATCAGTTTCTCAAAAAGTTTCCCCATGGTAGGAAGCAGACTGATAAGTCTGTAATTTTCGATTTCACGTTTATTTTTGCCAGGTTTCGTAAACATTAATATTTCAGCTTCTTTCCAGGTGTTAACCAAGTATCCCAGATTCATGCAGATATTAAAAATTGAGCTTAATATATTTAAGGTCTGATTGGGTAGATTTTTGATCACTGAATTTTTGGTAGGTGGTCTATTGGTAAGCATTCGAAGTTCTTTAGGGGTGGGTATGATCAATAGTGGCCTTATTAACACGAAGATTAGCTTCTATATACTGTTGAATTTTATTTGTGAATGTGTAACTCGCTTTTGAAAATTGTGGAGTGAAAACATATGATACAATATTTAAAAATCATTAATAATATGATGCACATTTTTGTTTGATTTAAAATCAGTGTTGCAGATGTCACTTTAACATTTTTCTACACACAACTGTTGGTGATAGCATCTTGGCTATATTCCATTCCCATATGGCCTATTTCACCCAAACAACAGCTGTACATATTTTACAACCGGTAAAACTAGGTCACACAGGATGTGACGACCTCTCACCCCTTTTTCCCCGCTCATTTTTCTTTTTCACCACCACCAGAATTCTATTAAATTTTATTCAAAAAGCTGCTAGTTTAATCTGTAATCTTAAATCTTTTTCAAAAGCGTTCCAAGAGCAAAAGTATTTTCAATTTACGTCTTACTTTCTTTAAAAGATTCCTCTTTTGGGTAAGCGGGGATTGAAACAAGATTTTCTACAGCGCGAAAAGCATTCATTTCTTTAAAACCCCGCGCTTTAAATACAATATTTCTCGTTTCATTCTTTTTTTTTTCCCTCGTGGAAAAGCAACACGTCGAAATTTGTTTTCAAATGGATGTTTGCGCGAAAATAATAACGACGGGCGAAGGCGTGGAAAACAAAGGGGGGAAAATAAGACAAAAAGGAAAATCTCGAGTTCCGACGACTAATGAACGCGGTTCGTATTGGTCATGGGTCAAAAAGGGAAGAGGACTCTTCTTTGTTAAGAGTTTGAACCATTATCTTTTTGGTTCTAAAAAAATAAAACAAAGAAGTTGTTTATTCAAAAGTGCTTAATGAATATTTCCAAAGTTTTAATATTATAGAACGTTGCTAATTATGTTATACTAAACTCGTGTTAAACTTCATAACGTCCACATTGAATTATGTTTGAGTGTGTGTGAAAGTTATGTTAAAGTTAACCACTCAACAAGTTAAGCACCCAACTTAAAATCGATTAGGAATAAAAAAAAATAACAAAAAATATGGAATAAATAAGATTTAATTTAATTCAATCTACATTTTTAAACTTAACACAATTCGTCCACACCAAAAATGTTTTACACCAGAAGTAATAAATAGTAAACACAAAAAACATTTTAAGTATTTATGCACCGGAAATAAATTTGAATTTCATCCATTAAATCCATTCGTGCCTGCTTATTTGTTTATTCTTAACGCGTCATTGTTGGTCTTCGAATTTGGTTTGTGGCATCCGCTTGCGTCATAATGATCTATAAACACCAAAACCATAAAGTTAAAAGTAAACAAAAATATACACACTAACAAAAAAAATTGGTACTTACATGAATATTTTTAAATGCGGATCTTTTAGAAAATTAGTATTTCGTTAAAAGTCTATTTTGGAACTGCGAGTTGTTCCTTGGGGCTGTTCCCTTTTTATAAGACCGACTAGGTCTTCAGGTAAAGGTGGTAGCAGTACACCTTTTGGTGCTGTACACAGCCGAAAGAAGGAATTTACAGTTACGCGCTAAGGGGAAATGGTGAAAGTTGCGCCGTGGGTAGTTCACAAAAGCGATGTGATCCCATGTGCCCGCCGTCGCATCATTTGAAAAGGCCAAGGCCTCTCCTTCACGTCTCACTAAGTCAAAAATATGGAATTTCATTCTTAACGGTTACAAGAAGAACAAAAACAAAGAACATAAATACGGACAAAACCCAAAAGTTAAAAGAATTTTAGAAACCGTTCTTTTTTCACTCTCACTTTTATTAGTTTCACTTTCAACTATAACAATTCTTGGAATTAAACACAAATTTGTTAATGCTTTATTTAACTTTTTTTAATTTATTTTAAAATTCTATTAATTAATAACGAATTTTTCTATAAATATCAAAGGTTATCGATAAATTAACACTCCTTAAGACGCATTTATTATTTACATTAATATGCAATAAACCTTGGACCGCGACTTAAGTAAGTTGAAGAAAATAAGTGAACGTGAAGAAAGTGGAATGGTAGATGTAGAATGAGATGAAACTATTAATGCGACAACAAAGAAAAAAATTAATAGAAAAAGTGCGTTTAAAAAATGTTTAGTAAAATAGAAAGTAAAATATTTATTTTCATATTCTTCTTTCTCGCGATGCATTTCTTTAATCTTCTTCTTGTTCACCAAAAGTGAGTGTAATAAAAATTTTTGATCTCATTTGGTATCGTTATCTTACGTTACATATCTTAGATGTTAAATGTGTCTCCAAATTCGTGTGTAGGAGTACCTATTCGTGTGATAGTAATCAATGTGTAGTGTTTTCAGTCTACTCCATATTTTTCCTAATTCACTGTAAACATTGATAACGCTGCGTTCATACTATTTATATGAAGACCTCAATACCTTCTTTACGAATAAACCAACAGAAATTGCTTCAACGATAGGAACTAGCCTTTGCAGCCCGAGCGATTACATGCATTGTGTTAAATGTCATGTTAGTTCCTTTGTACTGTTTCCTACAAATGAGACAGAGACATTCAACACTACAATGCAACTAAATAATAGTAAATCGGAAGATTACTATGGAATGACAACATATGTACTAAAATCTATTGTACACGGTGGGCCAAATTGTACACTTTTAAACCCGTGCGACGATAGCAACAAACCTCTCAGCAACAAACTTTTACCCGTAATTTCCTATCTGGGTCATTCTCAGAAAGGGTGGAAAAAAGGTTTATAAGAAAAAAATTCGTGTAATTAGTTTTCTAGGTTATATATTTATCGAAGAAAACATATTAGTATAACAAAAGTTTTGTACTTTGAGAATATAATTAAATAATGAAAATAATGTTAAGTTTAGAGGTAACGGAGTTGAGAAGTGGTAACGGAGTTGACAAATAATAATTTAATTCCAAGTTTTGTTCCTAACATCTCAACTTATTGCGTACTAAACTCAATGGCATATCATCATCCAATGATGATGAATCTGTATATACAACGCTATAACGTAGAGCTGTTCTATACTCCTTAGATCCAAGTTATAGTGTGAGCAAAGCTGGCCGGGTTCACAACACAGACATGTCAGTTCTCTGAAAGTAAGTCTATTCCTTAGTTTATTGATCCAGGCTACTTTCATCGTACCTTTAAACGTAGGAATATTTTCTGGGATCAGTTCGTCGATCATAGGGATTAGTTTTTCATCGATACGAAAGATCTTGATCCCTTTTATTGAGTTTTGTAAGACTTTTACTAAAGTAT